GGGGGGCTCCATCCTGGTTCTACTGGAGCACAGGTCCTAGTTGGAGGGCACGGGGACGCGAACTGGCGATCTTCTCACTGCGAGGCAACAGTGCTACCAACTGCGCCACCTTGCAGCCAGTCGTGTAACAGTAATGGTTTAATAGTTCCAGGTTTAAACTGATTGACTGTAGGCTGAACTTTCCTCCTGCTGTCCAGCTGATGGATGATAAATGTATATAGTCTAAGTAAATATATGAAATAAATACATACTCATAATTAGCCAGATAGTGACTGATTTCTTGCTCTGAGATGCTAGGTAAGCACGGACCTTGCTCTTTTAACACAGATTGATTCCGTTGTCTCATGAATGCATTACTGACTCCAAACACCGTCTCTTCTAGTGTACAACGTAAGTGCATCCCCACAGCAGAAAAAGATGAGTTTTAATGTGGAGCACCTCCGTCCAGGCCAGAGTTATGTGGTGTGGATCAAAGCTGTGACTGCTGCAGGGCCTGGAGAAAATGTCACAACAGACTTCAAAACAAACTCCAGCCAAGATGGTAGAACACTGTTTCTCAGCTTTTTCCTGTTTTTGTAGCTGAATGTGATGAACTTAGTCATGTTGTCAGTGGGTACGTCTCATTCACTAATTGCACTTTCTCATTTTTTTCAGCAGACCTTCTGTCCATCGTGTTAAAAGTTGTTTTGCCTGTGATATTCTTGATATTCTTTCTTCTTGCTGTTGTGCTCTGGTAAGATAATCATCCTGAACTTCCGTTTGACCTTGTTATACTTCTGAGGCTCTATTCTCCCATCTCTGTCTAAATCAGAGGTGTACATCACAGGTGTTTCTCTTTTTGTTGGCAAAAAACCTTGACTATTCTATTCTCAAAAAATCTTTAATGATACTTCAAATATCTTTACAAGCAAAAAAGAAATCACTGTTAGCTAAAACTGTGTGCACAGAATAAGGATAAATTCAATGTTTTTGCTGACATTAAACCTAAGAATACATTCATATACAAGTGTTCTGATTTGGAATAAAACATGTCTTGTGTCTTTTTTGCTGTCATGTCTGTGCCAGGTTTTGTCGGAGAGGAAACAAAGTGTGCCCACTGATGTCTCGATGTCTCTATGAGAAAGTGCCAGATCCTGGCAACAGCCACATCTTCAGACAGCTGAAGCACCAGGTGAGACTGACTGGAAAAAATCTAGCATTTGTTGTGTTGTGTTGTAAAACTGCACATGAAAAACCTTGATTCTGTGTGTGGTCTGGCTGTAGATTAATGAGCCCTTGGACTGGATCTGCATTCCACATGAGCCACAACCCAAGATCTCTGTGTTGGAAGTTGTGGAAAAGAAGTCCCAGGCCTCCGACAGTGATGGATTAACCAAGCCAGTGGTGGGAGATGGGTGCTCACAGATGAACTGCCAAAATGATCAGAAGGAGGATGCTGTTACAGACGAGTGTGACAGGACAGACCGCAGATATGGCAGAGAGGAGTACAGCAAAATGGTTGACTCTGATGAGGAGAAGGATGGTTGCTGGAGCTCCTTAGAGGAAGAGAACATTTCGTCAGGCTATGAAAAACACTTTATGCCCACTGCTCAGGAAATACTTTAAGTCTGAAGTTGTCTCCATATCACATCATGGACATTCCTCTCAGATGTTTGTTGTCTTTTTTATTGTGCAGAAAATGTTCAATGTGTGTTTAGATGGGAAGCTTCTGGAGCTTCTCTCTGAAGGACGCTGTAGGACGCACTGAGGTCGCTGGAAAGATTCATCTGCTCAGGCTGCTGACAGTCTCCCTCTTTCTGTTGTGGCTTCAGACTTCTGCATTTGTTTGTTGTGGCATTTGGTCTGCCTACATTCCAGCTGAGTTGGATCCCCATTTGGTGCAAACTCTCAGTTTTTGTTCCTTTTCCTGTTTCAGTTTAAGTCTGCCCATGGGCAGTTCCTCATTTTGGTCTCACGTTGACTCTGATTGTGACAATATAAACCAAGAGTATTATTTTAGGAAAAAACAGATACTGGATGTGCAATAAATTCTAATTGTTTTATCATCCACACATTAATCCAGACAGGAGACCCGAGTAGTGTTCAGTATAGAAGAGCAATACCGTTAAATGCTGACTTATCTGTGACAATAACGGTCAACTGATAAACTGGTCTGGCTGTAGTATACAGAGTAAACATATACATGATCATATATATGATCGTCTCAGGAAATAATGTTAACCTGTGGACAATGCTGGAAGTATTTTATATTTTGAAAGTAAATAGGATTTCCATTCAAGTTCCGTGTCATTTAGTTACACTGAATGAATGTCAAAGGATCAGCCATAACCTAATTTAATGTGGATGCCAACTAAAATCAATCCCTGGACATTTATTCCGGTTTTATATTAGCGTTATTAACTCCCAGATAAGCTCTATAAATCAGAAAATCTACAACCTACCGGTGGATTTTAAAACCCCAAAGCTGTAAATTGTTTTGTAAACACTGAATGTAAATGTCATGATACCAGGTGCTCAACATGCATTTTTTTTATTATTATTATTTTTTTTACAGTTTTGCACCTAAAGTTATATTTTTTTCAGTAAAATATGTATTGGATATTTGTCCACTTGACATATGAGATTAAATAAATGCACAGTGACAACACAGGCGTGCCGGAGCAGTCGTGTGCAGTGCATAATGCGTAGTTCAGATACAGTCAGCAAACATCCATTCTGGTGCATGTGCACATCAGCTCAACAGTATTCAATAGTAATGGTGCATATTGAATTAATTCCGAGATTAATTATAGTATTGAAATAAATTTAAAGGATGCGTTCTTATAAAAGATCATCTGTACAGCATAGCCTGCAATAGAAATGATGAGATCATTTGAACATCTGTTGAGATAATGACTACATCCGCAAAAAAATATTCCAACAAAATTAACCATGAGCTTTCGGATGAGTGCTAATAAACAACAGATTTATCATATTTATTTAGGTAAGTTGCAAATCATTGTAATGTCTTATATATGAGTGCATAAATATGTATACATACATTTTTAATTCTTTATTATTTTTTTTTTATCATTTTTACTCTGAGGTTTGACGTTGACTTATTTTAAAAATTGGAATTTAAAAAAAAAAAAAAAAAAAAGCAAAGTGGCTCCCAGAAGCTCCGCGGTAATCTCGCGAGTTTAGCGAAATGTGTATTGAACGGAAGCCGCCATAGGCCAATTTCAATCGGCGTGCTCATTTGAACAAGAGGAACCGCTACGAAGCACGGGAGAAGAGCGGCCCAGTACCGATTGTTCAGCTTTCAAGTAAATATTGTACGTACAGTATTTGTACGCCTGTAGTTTGACAAAATCATTCAAATACATCGATCCGAGGGTCTCTGCGGGTAAGGTGTTGATAAAGCAAATCCTGAAGCTTGTGTCGGTTAATAGCATTAGCCTAGCTTTAGCATTAGCATAGCCGGTGTAACTGGTGCGCACACGGCTTAGCGGCTAACGCCAGCTAACGCCAGCTGGCAAAACGTGTTCACCGAGTTTGTGGCCGTTATCGGCTGTCATTGTTGGTCTGACCGTAACGTCCTACACCGTTGGTCAGACGTTAGCCTTCCGTTAGATAATGTCTCGGTACAAGGCTTCCTTTAGCCAAGTGAAGCTGCTTTTTGCTTATTTTCATGCCGGGCACATTGTGAGCAGCGAGCCGGGAACTGCCCTGCCGACCAGGCCTGGGCAAGAAGGGCAACTTCGGTAGCTTCAGGTCAACTGTGTATAGTCCAACGAACCGGTCATTTATTCGGTGATGGCCGCTAAATGAGAGTAAATCAACCGGTTCAGTCGGATGTAGTGACGGTAAAGCACACGATGCTGGCGTGGAGCCGGACAAGGCCGCCCAGCTGCGCTGCTGACTTATTTCCTGACAACTTTTCGCTCCGGGATGAGCCGCCGCTGAACGCGACCCCTCGGGTTCGCCTGGGCCCACGTGTCGGACAGGCCGGTGTACAGAACCGTCCGAACCAACGACCAACTTGCGGAGACACAAAGCGTCTCCGTCAGTTGGTCCAGCGGACCGGGTGGCGTGGGGGTGGGGGTGGGATTAACGTGGAGCGGCTAAGCCGGGTCACACAGATTTTACTAGGTCGTGTTGTTTAATGTCCTCGTTTTTCTGCTGCAAGCCGATTTCCAATTACAATTTTAGGTCCAGGCAGTTCCAGGCCCCCCGCTGCTGGTCCGATCTCTCGGTGCGCTGGTCCAGCTCGGGGCCCCCGCCGCCGGTCCGGTCCCTCGCTGCTCTGGACCAGCTCGGAGGCCGGGGCCCCCTGCTGCTGGTCCGGTCCCTCGGTGCCCTGGTCCAGCACCTCCAACCACCGTGTGCAGCCTCGTCCTCCCACAGAAACCCTTGACTTGTACTTTTCTCCCTCAAATATTCCTACATATTTATGTCCGTCCATATGTCTTCTGTTATCATATATTACTATTATTATTATTATTGTTATACGTCTGCGGTATCTAGTTCAGATATCAGATGGTTGTAGATGTTCAGGTGACCAGGCAGTGGCCTTCTAGCAGCACTGGACCATCAGATGACCAGCACCATAACTAAAGATGTGGTTCAGTCTACGAAGTGGTACAGAAGTTGTGTAAAGGAGTTTTTCCCTCAATGAATAATCTTATTTATGCACTTCCTGTGCTTCCAGCGGTTCTTGATATTGTGTCCTCGGTTTGCTTTCCTCACGCGACATGTGGACTGGAGATGATGCATTAAGAAACATCTGACTGTCACTGATGGTGTTTGTATTCATACTGTCTGATCCAGAGCCCACCTGCGTTCTAATTTCTCCATATTCTGCCCATTCATCTATGTAAATTACCACAATGTACTGAGGAAAAACATGGCTTCATTTCTTGCTGTTTCCCAGGATGGAGTGGCAGCCAGATGAGCAGGGACTTCAGCAGGTCCTCCAGCTGCTCAAAGACTCCCAGTCGCCCAACACAGTCACACAGAGAGCTGTCCAACAAGTATCCTGCTGCAGTGGGCCACGAGCTCATTACGTTTTACTAAGTTATGCCTTCTAATGAGATGTATGACTTTATGCTTGGGCTGCAAGGTGGCTCAGTGGTTAGCACTGTTGTCTCGCAGCAAGAAGGTCGCCGGTTCGCGTCCTGGTGGGGGCTCTGGGATCTTTCTGCGAGGAGTCTCCATGTTCTCCCCGTGCAGCGTTCTCTCCAGGTTCTCCGGCCTCCTCCCACAGTGATTAATTGGTGATTGTAAATTGTCCGTAGGTGTGAATGTGAGTGTGCTTGGTTGTCTGTCTCTAAGTGTAGCCCTGTGATAGACTGGTTACCTGTCCAGGTGAACCTGCCTTCACCCTGAGTCAGCTGGGATAGACTCCAGGCCCCCATGACCCTAGTGAGGAGTAAGCGGTGTATAGATGATGGATGGATGGACTTTATGCTTGTGTCTGAGGAAACTAAGTTGAATATTTTCCACATGTGGAGGATGTTGCTGACGTTGCTGGAGCAGAAAGCAGTTGTTTGAGCTCTGATATGTGACACTTGAGCAATCTGCTCAGCTTGGGAAGTATTAGTTACCCTTCAGTATGCGATTGCATACTTTTAAATCTCTTCACACTTGTGTCTGCACTCAGCATGTATGTAGAAAGGTTAGCTGTAATCTGGGAAGTGAAATGGTCCTTAACTGCCACCCTAGAAACTTGAACAACTCAACCAGTTCCCCGACTTCAACAACTATCTCATCTTTGTGCTCACAAGACTCAAAACTGAAGGTGAGTAGTCTGAAGTGTGTTTGTATCTCTGGGCCAGATTCTGGTCTGATACCTACATTTTAGTACTCCTCATACACTGAACAGCCTCGTGCAGCATATGTCACACTTCCCTGGGTTTGCTAGTTTATTTGCTGAACAGTAACACCTTTATCTGACATTAAAGCTTTCTTGACTGATCAACTGAAGAGGTGGATTCCTTTCATACTGCTTGATAAGAGGCTGAAGCTCGTCTTAGCTTTGAACTGATTAAGTTTAGTTGGTACGATTATATTCTACATTTGGTTAATGAATTGACCACAAAGCTGATAGCCTGAGTTTAGGTAGAACTCAGAACTAGTGTCCAGGAGAATAAGGCTGGATGGTTCTAGTAATCAGGATACATTTCATAATATTTAAAGCATGGAAAATGGGGGCTTTGTTCATTCCAAAAGGTAACTTGCATTATTTAGCTGTTCTTTACCAGCATTTTACACCTTTTGTTTTCTCTTCATCTTCTCAGATGAACCGACTCGCTCACTGAGTGGTCTGATACTGAAGAACAATGTCAAGGCCCACTACCAGAACTTCCCTCCAGCTGTGGCGGACTTCATCAAGCAGGAATGCCTCAACAACATTGGCGATCCCTCGCCGCTCATCCGTGCCACCATTGGTGAGTTGTGTTGCTGTTGCATGGCGTCGGTCTTGTCCTCGGTCACCAGTTAGCGTCTATGAACCCACTCCTCCTGATGCCCTCTGGAGATGATGCATAATGTCCTCTGAGTACCCATGAAGGTGTTTGTATTCATACTGTCTGATCCAGAGTTGCTGTAAAGGCATAGACTGTGTAAAAGACGGACGGAGCAACCGGCCCTGAAAATGAAGCCAAGCCGGAAGTGTCAAAAACCTGCAGATCACTGCGTCTGCTAGCTGCTGGCTCCACAAAGCCCTGGCTCCCATAGACTGGAACTGGAAAAGAAGTGATCACAGATCACCAAATACTGCATTCCTACAGCTCAGGATTTTTTTTTTATTAGTTTTCATGGTCAGATCCAGAGATCAGGTGGCCAATCTGAAAATAAAAAATTACTGAATTTTTAAAAAATCATCAACATTTTGCGGGGCAAGAGGCGTGGCTGGCTTGATTGAAAGTCGGCAGCGATGATGCAGACGAAGTGAGCAGAAGGCGGTAAATGTGGGCGGGGCAGAGAGGGCCCGCCTCTCAATCCGTCTGACCAATCGCTGCTCCTATGGCTCCGCCCCCCTCCGACGATTTTTGGCTCCAAAAATCCAAGATGTCAACCAGGAAGTAGCAAAACCCTGGCTTCATTTTCTCAGTGCAGAAACCAACGGATGACGTCACGGCAGCTACGTCCATCTTTTATACAGTCTATGTGTAAAGGCAGCTGCTTGCGGTCCTGTCAAGTCTAAACCACTGACCTGAAGTCTGTGATCTCCTCTCTGGCTCCTCAGGCATCCTGATCACGACTATTGCCTCCAAAGGAGAGCTACAAACATGGCCTGAGCTGCTGCCTCAACTCTGTAACTTGCTCAACTCGGAAGACTACAACACTTGTGAGGTCTGCACTCATTCTTTTTTTTGTCTTTTTTAGGCAGGCTACAACTGTTATGTTAATGAGCTCTGCATAGCAAGACAGACGTCTTCAGCTCTTTAGACTGATGAGGTATCTGCTCTGGTTCAGTGTGTAGCTGATGGATGATAAAGGCTGATGTTGACACTCAGGATCCTTACCACTACCACGATACTTCCTGTGACGACAACAGCGCTAAACATTCGAGCCCTTGACACTAAAGTTAGCCACATGTATTAAAACTAATATTTAAGATCTCGCCTCCACTTCTTGCAGAATATTGGGCAAACTATGACTGCATCCAGACCTGTTCTGGTTCTGTGCGCTGTTGCTGATTGATCCCTCTGCTGTTGTAATGTTTACTGTATCCTGTAGTGTAATGCCTCATTTTACTTTGTGCAGCCTGATTTTAAAACTGCTTTAGTCGGCTCGGCTTTAGAGGAGCTCTAATCGGGCAGCACCAGTGACCCTCAGCCTAACCCTGTGTGGGTGCTGCATGGCCTTTAGAAAGAACCAGCAGACATCCTGATGAGTGTTTCTGTCTGTATTTATGAAAGTGGAGACTAATGTGTGGTGCAGTAAAGCAGTGCAACTTGTTTTTCAGAACTCGTGTGGCTGACTAGCAGTCCACTTTGAAGAAACTCAGTCTGAGTTTGTGATGTGCAGTTGGCGTGTTTATTTCAGTAACGTATTTAAAACATCACAGGGGAAGCACGAGCTGATAACATTAATTATTGCTCTTTCCCAATTAGATGCACTAATTATCCTGCATATGCATGAGACCTGGAACTGGCCCACCTGAATGCAACATGGACGTGATTAGTTTTATTGTGTATTTCTGACAGTTATGGCAAACTGAAAATCACACTGTTAGTTGCATGTGCGCTTAATGTTTGACGATATCCACCAGCAGAGAAAACTTGTGCACGTCACGTTTCTTCCTGTAAAGATTCTCTTGAAGAGCAAAGTCTGCATTCAGTACATGTTGCTGCACTTTTATCTTCTGATGCAGTGTCATTCTCTCCTCTGTCCCTGTCTGTTTGCGTTTGATTTGACAGCCTCTCTGTGTATGTCCGTGTCTCAGGGCTCCTTTGGCGCGCTGCAGAAGATCTGTGAGGACTCGTCGGAGCTGCTGGACAGCGACGCTCTGAATAGACCCCTCAACATTATGATACCTAAGTTCCTTCAGTTCTTCAAGCATTGCAGCCCCAAGATTAGGTACAGGAAGGAGTCTCTTTTCATTGTGTGTCGCATGCCAACATCTGACTGACATGAAAGGTGTTTGATCTGTCTGATCTGATCTTACGTCTCACTTAATTTAAAAGTTAGAATAACTGATTGTTGGATTCAGTTGTATTTCTTTCCACTGTTATTTACCTCACTGAGCAGCTGCTGTTGGCCTGTAACCATGATTCTGACTTGTAGCCAGCAACCCTGACCAAGTCTGATTTCCTGCTCTTCTGTAAAAGTGGAAAGGACCAGTGGTGGTGCAGCAGTTTGTCGGTATAATACATCCCTGCTGCTGTTGGGGTGTTGGGTTTTCGAAGTTGATCTCTGGGTTTCCGTGGTGGGCGGGCACCGTTAACAGAAGTTGTTTCAGAGCTTTTGGTTATTTTATCACACCCTGAATGCTATTATTTTTTTTGTTCTTAATATATTTCAGTGTTTTCAGTTTAATTGGACACCATGTGTTAGTAAGGAAACCGGCTGTACAGATGTTGCTAAACCACAGTCTCTTTCATCACTGACTCGATCAATCCTTCTGTCGCCCTGCAGGTCTCATGCTATAGCCTGTGTCAACCAGTTCATCATTGGCAGAGCTCAGGCGCTGATGGACAACATCGACACCTTCATAGAGGTGAGCCGTGTGTTTGAATAGCTCCCCCTTCGTATCCGTCCAGATCGTGAGCTCATTTCTCTCTGGTCTCGTTTCTTCTCTCTCTGATTAGAGCCTGTTTGCGCTGGCAGCAGATGAGGACTCTGAGGTCCGAAAGAACGTGTGCCGAGCCCTGGTGATGCTGCTGGAGGTCCGCATCGACCGCCTCATCCCCCACATGCACAGCATCATCCAGGTCAGTGTTGGACAGTCAACTGTGGGTCGCGTAGTGAAATGGGGAGAACTTTAGTTTTACACATACTTCCCCCTGAGTCACAATTATGTTGAAGGCCATCTTGCATCTGGACATGATGAGAAACCCAGCTCATTGATTCACAATGATACCTAAAGTTCCTATATTTTCTGATCCAGATGTGCCAAGATTCTAGGCTGTTGCATGATAGGGGCATCATTTTCTTGCCATTCCCTGCTCATTTTTGGTCTGTCAGCTCACACAGCCCTTTGTTTCCTGCAGTACATGCTGCAGCGGACCCAGGACCCTGATGAGAATGTGGCTCTGGAGGCCTGTGAGTTTTGGCTGACGCTGGCAGAGCAGCCCATCTGTAAAGAGATGCTGTCCGGACACCTGGTGCAGTAAGTAGCACATTACATTTTGCTAATGTACAATGTTTGCATAGTCACACTGAAAGCCAAACTTCCGTTCTGCCCGCCGTAATAATAATCAGCTTCAGTATACACACTGTTCACTGTTGTTGCTGATAAACCAAGCTTTTCCTCTTCCTTCCTAATGTAGACTGATCCCGATATTGGTGAATGGGATGAAGTACTCTGAGATAGACATCATACTACTGAAGGTGAGCTCAGGCTGTGTTTCTTTACTGCTTTACTGTAAATGGAAGTCTGACCATGCTGACCTGTAAGTATGTTGCCACTGGTGATGGAGCTGATTGGTATCTGGATGAACCTCAGCCTGATCCTTTTCGCTAAACTATTGCACAGGTGGCATATTTGGGGTCCTCGCGCAAACAGTGCAAACACCCTTCTGCAGGGGTGTCCAATCCTGGTCCTCGAGGGCCAAAGTCCTACATGTTTTAGATGTTTCCCTCTTCCAACACACCTGATTCAAATGATCAGGATGGTTATCAGGCTTCTGCAGCGCTTGATGATGAGCATCTAAAACATGTAGGATTGTGGCCCTCGAGGACCAGGATGGGACACCCCTGCCCTACTGGAACTGCTGTGATTATTGTTTTCCTTTGTTATTTTTAAGCCAAAATGGCTCCACAGTGCCCCCTTGAAAATTTCCTAGACGTACACAATTTGGTAGGCATGCGTAACAGGTCGGACGCACAAAGAAGTTGACCAGCGCCAACCCTACAATGCAAAATGGCTGAACAGTGCCCCCTACAAAATTTCAAGAGTCCCGTCGGAAGGGGGTTTGACCCAGAGCTACGACATTCAGGACGCATATGTAGCAGCTTGGGATGCACAAGAAAGTCAGTGGGTGCTTTTCTGTAAACCCAACAGCAAATCCACCATTTTGGGAAAACGGCGAGCATGCCGGGCCATTTTTGCTCATTTTTGTCAATTTTAAAAATCTTCTCTGGGATATATTGTACACGCCTGACACTTGGCCAGCACAAACTACAGGAGGTGGTGATTAAAAGGCATTAAACCTCTGTGCAAAAGTCTGACGGTGTCAAAATGGCGGCCCCCCGGAACTTTGTCAAAACGCCATGTAACAGGACGTGCTTTGTAACTGGTCTTTACGTTCTTGGATCTGTTCTTTGAACTTTACACACGTGCTCCGAGTCCCGGCCAGAGCGTGTTACCACCACGGCTCAACGCGCACGCCGCCATGGCTCGCCATTAAACAGGAAGTGACCTATAACTTGGTCGTACGCTCCAATCTGCCTGAAGCTCAACGCACCGAATCAGAGTCCCACCCACAGCGCTTTTCTGTCAAACCCCGAAAAGCGCGAAGGTCGACAATTGTACAGCGAGGACCGACCAACGCTGCTTGCACCTTTAATTCTGAATATTTTCCCGAATAAATGCCGTGTTATCCATCAGTCGCTGAGCTTGCTGAGTATTTAGTCTGTTGTTAAACTGCTCTTTCCACATGTGCACTGAAACTGGAGCTCTGTCTGACACAGCAGAAGGAAATGGACTCAAAAGACATGCTGGTGATGCAGCTTAAGTATTTGTGCGTGTTTCTCCTGCAGGGCGATGTGGAGGAGGACGAGGCGGTACCAGACAGCGATCAGGACATCAAGCCCCGTTTCCACAAGTCACGCACTGTCACCTTGCAGCACGAAGGAGGCGAAGGAGAGGAGGGCGAGGACATCGAAGAGGACGACGACGACGATGACGACACGCTGTCTGACTGGAACCTGCGTGAGTGACAGGAGCTTGTAGGTCCTTGTCTAAACAGGGCAGCGTTCCGTCAGACTTGTGTGTTCTTTGTCAACTTACGACTCTGGATCGATGTGCTGACTTGCCTTTAAACAACCAAAATGTAACAGGAGTTTTAACACTTTCACAAAAGCATTGGACTGGGCAAACAAATTCAGAAGGCTTTGGGACCAAGTGACATTAGTTTTAAGGAAATCAAACATTGGAGGGCCTGCAGTACTTGCAGGGTACTTGCCTTTGGGAAGTACCAGCACAAGAATCTCCTCATCCTGTATGATGCCATAGGAACTCTGGCAGACTCTGTTGGTCACCACCTCAATCAGCCGGTAACTGTTTGATT